TACAAGCCTAGGTAAGCATAACTATAGGTTTTCAGCCTATTTCGAGCGGTACTTTTCGAGAAATTTCGATTTTAGCACTGAAACTGAAACGAAAAAATCTGAATTCGTTATTTTTCGAAAACTACCGCTTGGAATGGGCTGAAAATCTACAGTTATACTTAACTAGGCTTGTAGTATAGAACTACATATGCAAAGACGGCTCAGCATTGCTTTGAGAAAATCAGGAAAATTTTCGTTTTCTCAGTTTCTAGTCAAGGAAAAAATACGGAATCGCACATATGGATATCAGATATCGATAGTATTGATGTGAGCGAGTGGGAGGTCCGTAGAAATTATTTGGACGAAGATCTGATTTTTTTCGATTTTTTGGGCATTTGGAAATCTTTAGATTTTGAGTTCGAACTCTCGGTGGATCGAGCATGACGCAAAGACATGAGTGCCATCTTGTAGAGCTTGCTTTGCTCTATCGAACAGTACCCCTTACCCTTTGTTGGGTTGAGTGTAGTTGCTTTGTTAAAGCAAGCAAATAAAAACGGACATTATTTTCTTGACAACCTAATACAAAACTTTTATCAAAATAAATGACAAAACATCTTGTTTTCAGACTATTAATGTTGTGTTGGCACTACATTTTGCAAAATATTCAGAGAATTTTTACAATGTAGTGTAAAAAAGCAGTCTTTACGACAACCTCGTAGACAATTCAGTATAGCTTCAAAGTTGTTTTTATTTCCAGTCAATGTAGAATTTTGAAAATTAAAATCATTACGTACTGCAATTCCACGGATCAAAAAACTGCTGCTGTGAAATCCGGCTGACATTGTTGATAGCGAATGTTTGAAAAAAATTTTTGGTTCAAATTCATAAATTTAAATCATATCTCATTTCCAGTCAAACATGCTTTTCGACACTCTTGGATCAAATTCATAAATTTAAATCATATCTCATTTCCAGTCAAACATTTTATGCTTTTCGACACTCTCAGGTGAATACGAAACCTACTTTTCAGCATCCTATCAAATGAAAGACGCAAGAGAGCGGATGAAAAGTATATGAGTAGCATGACGCTTCGCTAGTCGTACACGTAAAATGCCCTCGTCAACCTATTTCTATATCTCAATGCTAAATGAGCACCGCCTAAAATAAATTGCCGCCAGCCCAATTACTCGCCACTTCCAAAGCGCGAGCGCTTGAATATTTGCCTACTCAGATAATGGCAAAGCATAACCGCTACGTATTTAGCCGTTCCTTATATCACTCACCACAAGTGAGATTTTTCAAATTGCATTCCATCAAGCTCTAGGACAGATCTTCTAAGCTCTGATCAAGCTATTATTTCTGTAAGTTATAGTGCTGGATGAAGCATTTCCGTTATGGTTCAAAAAAACTTGGAAGTGACAAGTCACATTTCTGGGAAATCTCAACGTTTGTCACTTTGATGCATTTTTTGTGATTGTGCGCACATTCAAAAAAAAGAATTGATCAATTCGCAGGAAAAATCTACTGAGTGATGCAAGGTTTTTTAATGTCCAAATTTTCCCGACTGCCACAAAAAAATGATGTGAAAGTCGCTGTTTGATTATCCAATTCGCCTGATCCAACTCCTCCACTCAATCAATCAGAAGATAATGGTATACACATCGAAACTCTCTATGGTCTCGCCGTAACTCGTGTACTCTTTACACACGAAACTCAGAAGACACTCATCTCGCCGTAACACGTGTATTTCCTACACACGTAACTCGGAAAACATTAAACAACAACCGAACAAGCTCGAGGACGAGCTTTCTGAAGGAATGGAGATGTCGGGATGCAGCTAATCCCCAACAGCTGCCTAGGAAGGAGGTTGGCCCTGGATAGCCAACCTCTGGCAGTGACCTCCGCCCGCCGGCAGGAGCCGGTGCCCTCTCCCCTTTCCTCTTACACTTTCTGTATATATCTGTATAATAAATATCATAGTAAGACCTATGTAAACCCGCTACACACAGGTAATGGCGTCATGAACCTTTATCCTGACATGACCGATGCTGGATTAGCCTATATACCGCTCAATACTTTTGCACAAAACGAACAGAACCTGTGCAGACTTATATAACAAGGAAAAATGCTTGGTAACCGTGGCCTTTTGCAGTGAGATGTATACCAGTACATGCGATTTGAAACGCTGAATACAAACGTGTGTTGATAATCTGCTGTGCAATTGAAAGTCATGAAATTTCCATATTGATTTCATGACATCTAGGCATTCAGATTCGTCGGTATCCGCGCTTTTTGGACTCTGATATATCGGAGAAGCTCCCGAGCTTATCGTGAATCTTTATCTTATTCGGATGCTCTTTTATGGCGCGTAAGTGACCATTCCAACGGTATTGGTGTCACCTGTCATCAAGCAGTCAAATTTTGGTGGCAAGAAACGTTCATAACTTTCTTCATAAGAGCGCACAGCAGATAGTGGAAGCAAATTTTGAATTAGCGCTCAAAGATGCATTTGATGGTAAGGGTTTCATATCAAAAAGTCACAGTCAACAAGTATCCTCCCCTTATAAAACGCTTGTTTATAGCACCCTTCTACCATCAAGTTGCCGGGTGAGCATGAACACACAGTGACTGTCTCTAGTTTTATGAACAGATATATACTTTAGAAAACGTTGAAAACAAAGTAGTGATGCTATCATGATCTTTTCAAACAAAAGTTTGCATCGCTTTTCACATAATGCACTTCAACGGTTTCGACTTGGCTTGAGCCATCAGGGTTAGCGCAGTGGAGTAGAAGCGCCTTGACTAATGCTGAAGTCCTACGACAGCCGTTAATTTCATAAAATCTAAGAGACTACGGTCATCATTGATCTTTCTTCCCACTGATCTCTCCGTTTCCAATTGCTCCGCGAATTCCATTCTCAGTGTTGGATCGCGCCTACCGCAGTATTGTAATCATAAGGGTCACGCAACCTCTGTGCCCGTGGCAGACTCCATACAATAAAGTACTTTCAAATTTTTCCCTCATTTCTCAATAATATGAATTGTTGGTATCAAATCTGTGAAAGCACTGTCTGGCACTTGGAGGCAGTAACTCGGCAAATTATACCTTCAGTTTTCGCTTACCTAGGACTATTAATTCTTTGTTCACGAGTAAGAGCATCATAATGAGCATGCCATGAACATTTCTTGAAACTTTCAATTTTGAACATGTATGTATGAGATGAACGTGATCCTCATAATTACAATCGAATAAAACTTCTGCTCAATTTAGTGTGCTTGCGGTGACGAGAAAATGTTGAAAAACCTGCGCGTGAACAGCTACGGCTGCGACGCGAACCACCTCCATGAGCAAAGTGCCAGTTATATTGGCGGGACTATTTGTTCACGCACAGACATGGAGCAATGTATTGGCTTGAGACATGGAGCAATGTATTGGCTCTGTGAACCAGCGATCCCTAGTTATAAGAGCCCTAGTGATGGAGTACAGTTTCTTTGTCGCAGGCAAAGGAGATGCTTATGAGCGTGAGGGCTAGATTTCGTGAACACTCATACAGAGAAATATCCTTTGTAGCTTCGCCAAGCCAAAAAAGTCCCTCTCAAACAGCGATCAAAGACTAAGGTGTTCAAGAGAATCCTAAAGTTAGTGGCTCAGTAAGCACACAATTTGTCGAACTGATGCAGTAGTGGGCTTGTGCCCTTTCAAACTTAGCTTTTGCACATTCAGATCCTAGCGAGATGTACCCGCAAAGTGCAAACAATCATTTGTTATCAGGAACAGAAACATATATTAGACTGGAGACTAAGTTTTGCAACCACTTTCATAACTCAACTCTCTTTGAATGTAGCGCACCCAAACTTGGGCAGTATGTAGAGCTTAGTGTGAGCTACAATTGACCAAAGTTGCTTGGATATTGAAAACGCATGAGAAAAAATTCCAAGCGTTTTTCGAAAAATAGTAAATTTTGGAAATTTTTTGGGTTTTGAGGCAAAATGAAGTTGTTAGCAGTCTAGACCATGCGCAATCATCCGGAATCGTGTACTAATTGTTGCTAGAGGTTGGCGTATTCGGCTCACTCAAAAAAGAAGTAAAATTTAGGGCCAGGTCGAGATTTGGCACCCTCACTATTTCGAAAGAGTTGCTGTACGCAAGTCTTCTGGGGACAACCGTCAATGACTAAGAAGTCAGAACCACAAAATTCCCCGAGTCTTTATAAATCAACGTCCTTTGACCTGCTCAACACAAATATCATATGCATTCGTTGAAGCAACGCCTCTTTCCTTGTTTAGTAGGATGGGACCCTATATCGTACACCTATAGTATCTTACAAAAAAGCCCTTATCCGTAACTTCAGTAACATTCCGTGATCAGCATGTCGGGTAACCGCCCTATTCCAATTCTCAGCCGAATCTATCGAGTTTTATAATTTCTCCCTTTATACCATATACCTACCGTAACCCTCACCGCAACGTCAGAATTTGGCAGAACCAGCGCGCTTGTAGCTTACATCATATCCAACACAGTGGCAAAATTTGAGTGCGCCAGGTTGAGTGAGAGGAAAGTTATTGAATGATTTGCAAAACTTAGTTTCCAACCTAATATAATTTAGTAATGTTTCTGGATTGAAGTGAAATGTGAATATATAGAAACCAACTTAATGCGAGTACTTTGTTCGGGACTCAGCTAGGAATAGAAAATCTCGCAATTTCATAGTGTTCACTAAGAAATAAGCTTACATTTGAGACGGAATTTAATGAAAAATAGCAAAGGAAAGAAGTTTTAACGAAAGATTCACTTTTGGAACAGAAATTTCCATAATAGGCACGCAAGACTTGCTTAACTTTTTTCCGGTACATATCCGCAGACAGAAAGTGACATAGATCGGTTTTGGTTTGATTATATGCGTAAATTGAAGTCACGAGGTCAGGCTCGTGGTCGTCAGAGTGCACGAGTAACAAAGTTGCAAATGTGCAAAATCATACAATACGGCCACAAGCAAAGGAGTGAACGAGCAGAAAAGAGATTATATTCTAGAACATTTGTTTCCCACACGATAACGCAAAAGATGTATCATTCTCGTACGACATGGTATCATTGCCAGCACATCACGGCGTATTTCTTTCGAAAACATAATGTAGTATATCTAGAGAGAAGACAATTATTTAGATTGCAGAACCTTTTCATCTTTTGATACAACGTACTGGAGTAAGCCCGATGGAGATTGGCCTTGTGATGAAGTTCATGTTCGCGTTGAATTTCGCATCACCAAGGTGGAGATATCTGAACCCAATCCAGAATGTTCCATACAGATAGATCAACTCGCTGAGAAAAGTCAGCAACGATTGCCCGAGGAAACGCCGCTCACTTTGAATCATGTACATTTGTTGAGAGCCAGATTTCTGAAGAAGCAAGAACTCGTTTAAATGAGATATTTTTTGCTCGATGCAAAAATGATAATCACCATACCGTTTTCATTACAGCCACTGTGGCAACGTATAATAGGAAAGTCGCTGATAATTCAATGATTAACAGCGGAATACGAGTGTAGTTGAATGGGAACATAAGCTCATCTTGGTATTTGTCATTCTCATCGTACCATATTTTGATCACAAGTCCAAATTGGTGGAATACACACATAAGGATTGACCATATAACGGAGATGGTTACACCGACAATAGCGACTGTATTGGCATGCTAAAAGCTTAACTCAACATTATGCATTTACGTAGTCAAAATAAAATATTTTTCTGTATGGCGCAAAGAACACTACTCTATTAACTCATATTCGGTTCGAGAAAATCGCTTAGCCAAAGTTGAGATTAGCAGAAACTTGCTATGCCCATCAGAAACTTTCTTCTGAAAAATAAAATAAAGACATGCCTTTGTTCCAAACAGAAGTGTCACTAATCGCACAGCTGATAATGTCAGATTTACGGCCACTGTAAGTTCCACGCCGAATGTACCAATGGTTTGAAAAGCTAAGTGCTGAACTGGTGTTTGGAGAATACATTGCTGAAAGTCTGGCTCTGAAAAAGCTTTGATAAGATGTTATGGCACACTCTGCTTTACTAGACTGCCAGTTTGTGCCATTTTATGCCTGCTATGAGTTTTACGCCTTTCGGACCAGTGCTGTACGCGGCGTATTTCAAAATTTGCATTAGTTCTTTGGATATCAACGTTTCCATTCAAGACCAGAAACTCCTTTTACACGTACGAATGCGAAGTTCGTATCGGAGTTTATATCAGTCGTGCCGATTGAAATGTCCTAACAAGGGAAGCCTTTGTTAGCCAAAGTTTTCTCTGCACATGACACCCATATCACTTTGTAGAGCACTGAACAATGTCTAAATTGTCTTCCTTTTTACGGAATCCGAAGGAAGTTATGATTTCTTGAAAGTCTTGGCAGTAACTCAAGTGGCATAAAATTAGCGAAAAGCTGTGCAAATTACAGATAATTGCTGGCTGTGTTTCTTTTTTCGTAGTCAATATGCTTGATGCAAATCTAATAACCTATTTTCAGTTGTTTTTATAAGCTTTTCGCCAGGTTTGTGCCACTTATAGCATGAAAAATTTGGACTTTCGAGCACTTATGCCTTTCGGAGAGTTTCTGCAGGAAATAAAAACAGGTTTGGAAGCAGCGTCAAGGACACGTCTAGTGATACAGGTGTCATCTGGAAAGCCCCACCACTAAATAGGCTTCCTGTAAGCTGGAACTACGTACTGTCGGAATCGTCTTGTATATCGCGCACTAGGCAAATCTCTCTTAATTTTCATCGGAAGCGGATGGCTAAGGTGGATTTTTGATTACGTTTGATAAGCTAAAGGAATTTTTTTCTGCCAAGGGAATCCTGAATGATTCTATGCAAAGGTGCACTGAACTGTATCAGATAGAGCTACTATTCCCAGCTAACTTGGCTGATAAGCTCCACCAGCCAAAACTTTTAGGACCAGCGGGATTCTTCGCCTGCAAGACCATCAAATAAGGGTCGAAGTAGTATCACGGCCCGGCGGGGGTGGCGCTTTCACAAGCTGGATATCGTTTTTGGCCCGAAAAAGCAAAGGGGAAGTCGTATTTTGGGGTCCGGGGCTCCGCCCCGGACCCCAAAATACGACTTCCCTTTATTTACCCATAAACAATGCACATATCATTCTTTATTCATCATTCCTTGTTGATGCTACTGTCCTATGAACTTAGATTCCAGCAATGTGAAGATTCTGTGCTCCGATCGCTAGCCTGCCCGCAGGCGGGAATTCAAATCGCAATTCTTGTAAGAGAGAAGTAACAAAATAGGCTCGTTTTCAATGCACAAGTAACGATATGGCACCAAATTTGCTGTGTAGTTTGAGGACCATGAGCACAAAAAAAGTATGAAAAATTATGAGAAACTTATGTGAATTTAAAAAATGGTAAGTGTTTTTCGAAATTAGGTGGCTCCCGCGCCACCTGGGAGCCACCTGGGGTGGCTCTCTGCTTCCCTTCACATAATTTCCCGGATTTTTTTTACATAAATGTGGACTAGGTCAAGAGTATTACTATATGTTCAAATCCGCTTCCAAAACCACCAAGGCACCGCTTCGATACAGCCCCAAATAGGGTTCACAGCGTTATGATCGGCCTCGGAAAGCGCGCTCCAATCGCAATCGGTTATTGTAAATTGTAAAGTTTCGCAGCTGACTAATAAATGAATAGTATCTTACATATATAAACGTCAAAGTTTGTGCAAATCTTGACCCTATGTTTTTTATAGATTCCTTTGCGGATGAACCCATTGAGCTGAAACCTTGATGACCCGGGCTGGACCAGGAAAGCCAGGTAGTACTACTATAATAAGCGCTGAGGCCGCCCATCTTATTATTTTTGTATATCTGTTTGTCAGGGACTTACGGGGGTCAAAAATAGGGTCAAAGAGGAAGTCGTAAGAAATTTTGGCTTCAAAGGGAATATCGTTTTCAAAATTCTAAAATGCCACCTCCTGCCGGGCCCTGAGTAGTATTACTTTCACTAAAGCTGAGTTTTACTAACTCAGATTAAAACGATATCTTTTTTAATCTACTCAATCATACCGAACACCAGTGATAGTTAGATCATACTCTGCACTTAGAAATTCTCAAAAATTACAGACACGTTGATCCGTAGTAAAGCTTAGTCAGTTCAATTGACCTGAACTGACGGCTTCAGTTGAAGCCTTCTCTGACCAAAGATGATATGTCAATATCATATACTTTTGCTTGTAGTTATATTAAATCTTTTTTTTTTCAGTTCATCCTAACAATGTTTGATGCCTGTGAGAAAGTCTGTGCTACTGCCATAATAACATTCAAATTCCTATTATCTTGTATAATCACGTCGTCATAGGTTTCGCTGATTAAATTACATTGAGGAGGTTGTCAACATGCAGAGGTTTCACGGTTGAACGATGAAAAGCTGATATATTACCTCTTATAGAATTTATCATTATCACGGCTTCACCGACAAATAACGCTATGACGCAGGTGTAAAACGAGTTTCGTAAACTTGATGTTCGATAAGTAATCAGCAAAGTTATGGCGTATATATTGATGACAAATAGAATAAGCACGATTAAAGAGAGAATGTCGGTAAGCCACCGCGGCTGAGCCCATCGTTCACAGTGGTCTTCAACAAAAACCATAGTAAACTAGAAGTAGCAAATTTGCTAATCCAAGAACCTTGTTCTTTTTCGTACATCAGCAAAAAATGTATACACATACCACGTCTTTGACCAGCTTTAGGTAATCGCCAATCGATGGCAATACCAAGGATTTGTTCATAACCTTGTGAAGGGTGTGAAGTCAACTGAAATATCGTCATTCGGTAGCAGCACTCAACATCAGACAAACTCTTTTTATTCAAAGCAATGTCACTATAGTAATACAGTATGAGATTGATTCACAGACAGCTATGTGAGAATCTGGCGCGTTTAACAATTAAATCACGTTTCCAGGCATAGCACTGTGAATTCTTATGCGGAAACTTTTGTGGTCTAATGAACAGGGTGGATACAATGAGGAGGAGTCAAGTATTTACACAGCACAAGGCATAAGAGATGGGAATCTATTAAGCTTTACCTACTGTACACAGGGGAGGCGGAGGCTTTTGATAAACAGGGAAAGACGCATTCTCCTCAGCTAATAAGCGTTTGAGTTAACCATGTTGCGTTAATTATTTCGAAGTGTCGGACGTCTGCCATAGGTTTCATCTATCTGATAATCAGATCAATACATATTCTCGAAGAAGGACAATTGTACCTACGATAAAACAAAGTTGAGTTCCTGCATCATTCACAATAGGACTAATTCAGAATTATAAAAGCGCTTCACCGTTTGCACCGAAGATTGGCCGCAGAAAAGCCTTTTGAAAGAAACACCATCGTTGCATTCTAGAAATTGTAGCACCCTTATTTGAATGTAGCATTATGCTTGTAATTACGGGAACTCCGCAATTTGACATGATCCAGATGAGCAAATTGTCAGCAAAAGTACAATGGTTTTGCTGTCGAGTCCAATTATCAAGTAGCTATGAGAATAATGAAGGCTTCTGGTTTTAATTTAATTTGAAATTTAGTAAGCAGCATGTGTGCAAAGTAAAATCATCAATCTTGCAAAGATGGTTCCTATAAACTGAATATCTCTAGCAGATCTTTAGTTGCTCCATGAACTTAGCGAGCTGAAGCCGCCAGATAATTTGACTAAGTGAGCTTAAATGCTTTCTCCTCATTATAAACACGTTTTCGCAGCTGTATCTTGGAGTTTAGCCAAAAATGGACATCTTTCCTTCGCAATAGACTAAACAACAACGCAGCTGTTCCATTTTCACATTCCTGAAAATAACGCCGTCACGGACGGACGGAGTTTCAACCTCTGTTCCTTCAACAACAAATGCGCTCCCTTATCCGCCACTCAACTGTCGGATCTCAGTTCATCTCAAGGTAAATTTCATGCCTCTATGACCGAGCAAATATAATTAAACAGAACATAGGCGACAATCATGTATTATAAATGAGGAGAACTGGACAGGTAGACTTGAACAATAATTTAAGCTTTTGAGCGGCACACTCTCAAGGGCCAGAATATGTAAGCTGGCATTTACATTACTTAACTTGAAGGATGACGATATGAGTGCAATCAGATCGTTTTCTTTTGATTGATGGACCTCTTTGACTACAAAAAATGTTATTGCACTACTTTAGCTACAGAATATATTTCCTCACCAGATGAAGTATCGCGACAATATAAAATTTCGCAGATCTCGTTTGCAGGAAACGCACAATGCGCGTGCATCACCACACTTTGGTGAGGGAGTTCTGTAGCGTCGACTTATCCTGTCATAAGTTCTTGCTTAGCATCAAAAACGTTGTTTATCCCCTACCATTCTGTCAATTAATCATTTAATGTTTCGTGATATGAGGCAAGCCCTTTGAGATATAAAGACTATGCAATAGAGTAAATAGCAGGTGTCTCATTGGCTGGCCTCCCCTTTCTAATTGAGCAAACTTTGTGTTAATCACACATTTTAAGAAAAGGTATAATTTTTGAGAAAACGCCAAAAAATCAAAATTTTTCTGCTATTTTCTCGTAAATTATGCTGTTTGATCAGAAAGAGTAGGTCAGGAGAATTA